GAAGCAACCCTCACGGTTCTCTGATCTGCACTGTGACCTTCCTGAGGCAACGAACGTGCACAGCATATCCATTCGCCACTATCAAAGCCAGGATTTGTTATATAGGGGGTGCCTTCACAATGCAGTGTAAGCCAAATGAGAGTGGATTGTTTTTGGTGCTGAGTTTGCTTACCTGTTCCACACGGTGAAACGCCCCCTAGAGCTGCTGTTTTATCTTCGTGTGCAACCAGTATGCATGCATGCATGCATGTGAAGCGGCCTTGTATGGAGCCAGAACGTTGTTCGGCCAGTGTCCGCACCAGTTGCTCTGGACTGGCAGCGGCTTTCCAGGGCTACAGATCAAGGTCACGGGGTCCTGCCTCTTCCTTTTTGAACAGGAGATGCTGGGGATTGAACCCAGGACCTTCTGCTTACCAAGCAGGTGCTCTACTCTCGAGCCAGAGGCTGACCCCTAACACACATATAATGCTAGAAATGATTCCATGACATGTATGCTTTTATGATTGGCAGAGGGTATATTCCTACAAAGCAAGCAAACCAACAATTGCCTAGTGGGGATCAACCGGCCAAACTGCACAGTTCATTCAGGCTGTAGTCATCTCTTTGCATAAAGGTTCAGGGCTAGTTTTCAATACATCTGCAGACACAGAAATCCATAATGTAAAAGTTCAGCTGAAAAAATATAGCCCCCTGGAACAACAACATCGGCCTCTCTTAAAAATATATGTTTAGATAAACATATGGAGTAAGGGCCATCAGTGGCTATGAGCCACAAGGTATAGATAGGGACTCTGGGGCAAATGATGCTCTGTCTTCTTGGTGCTTGGGGGGGGGGGTCAACAGTGGGAGGGCTTCTAATGTCCTGGCCCCACTGCTGGACCTCCTGATGGCACCTGGCATTTTTGGCCACTGTGTGACACAGAGTGTTGGACAGGATGGGCCATCATGCCTGATCCAGCATTGGCATCTCTTATGTTCTCTTATGTTCTTATATACACTGTTTTCAGAAGAGGGTCAGACTTAGGGTGTAGGATAATTTCAAAAGCAGGGGTCCTCACCCCCTTTGAGGCTGCTGGCCCATTTGGAATTCTGACAAACAATGTACAAATAACGAACGTGCTCGTCTGTTACCTCCTCTTAACAGCTGGCAAACTGCTGTTTCCTCCATAGGCACGGTCAGCCAACCTTTCCTAAGCCAAATTTCAATAGGCGATAGTTTGTTTCATGGGGTTGTTTCTTTGTGACGATAAGGGGCTGCCCTGAACTCTTTGAAGGAAGCATAAGGTAAAAAGGGTACTTAGACCCCCAGGTGAGTTTCCCTGGCCACGCCCACTGTCCACGTCAGAAAGTGTAGAGTGAAGGTCTTAAGATGCACCGAGAGGCACGTGGCTTTCACCCCGGTGGGACGGCATGGGCCTGGCTGTTGTGAAACGGTGCCTTCCCTGGGATGAGTCACAGGTGCAGAGCTCTTTCCTGACAGGTGATGAGTCATAGAAATATACCTTTCAGCAGAAGTGACAGCCTAAACCCCCCCCCCCGCCCTTCAGATGCTTGGCTGTTGGATGCCGGAGTGACAAAGTGGTGCTTCCAGGAAATGGGTGGGTGGTTCTGATTTGCCCGCAAGGCTCCTGGGTGGCCTGTGCCCGCAGGGATGCCCCACAACCCCTGCCCCTTGGCAATGCCCTGCCCTCCCAGGAGGGAGTGATCCATATCAGGTCAAGGAAGGTGTGCCCACCAAAGTCTTTCCTCCCGGGGCTCAGGCTTACCTTGCAAACATGAGTCTGGAAGCTGAACCTGCTTGGATGAAGGGAACTTTCACGGGAAAACAGACTGTCAGGAGAAGGGCGAAGCACTCCCTTTCTCTCCTTCTCCCCACCTAAATCTGCCCCCCCCCCAGGAATATTGCAGAGAAGGGGCCACCTATCTGGTAGGGGCCAGTGCCGTGAAGTAACAGCTGACGCATGGCGACCCCATAGGGTTTTCAAGATTTGAGACGTTCGAAGTTGGTTGGCCTTTGCCTGACTCGGCATAGCAACTGGTCTTCCTTGGTGGTCTCCCATCCAAATATTAACCAGGGCCAACCCTGCTTAGCCAGTTTGGTGTAGTGGTTTAATATGTGGACTCTAATCTGGGAGAACCGGGTACAATTCCCTGCTCCTCCACACATACAGCTGCTGGTGTGACCTTGGGTCAATCACGGGTCTCTCAGAGCTGTTCTCTCAAGGGCAGTCCTGGAAAGAGCTCTCTCAGCCCCACTGACCTCTCAGGGTGTCTGTTGTGGGGAGGGGAAGGGAAAGGAGTTTGTAAGCCGCTCTGAGACTCCGAGTGAAGGGCGGGGGGTATAAATCCAGTCTCCTCCTCCTCCTCTTCTTCTTCACTTCTGAGAACTGATGAGATCAGGCTAGCCTGGGCTATCCAGGTCAGGGTTCCGCCCATCTAGCACATCTTAATCCCATCCTTCCTTCTACACATGAAGCTGCCTTCTACTCAATCAGGCCCTTGGTCTGTCGAGGTCAGCATCATCTACTCTGACTGGCAGCGGCTCTCCAAGATCTTTCTCATCACCTGTGGCCTGTCCCTTTTTTAACTGGAGATGCTGCCGGGGATTGACCCGGGGACCTTCTGCATGCCAAGCAGGTGCTCTGCCACTGAGCCACGGCCAATGCTCTCCCTCTAAGCCGTGGAGTCTTGTGAGCAAAAGTTCAACTACTGGCATTACAGTTGTGAGCCAGCAATTTGGCTGCTGCATTAGATTACTTTGCTCTGGAGCCCCATCCTCCCTGAGCTAAGACAAAAATCTGTGAGCGGGAGGCTAAAAAACTGTGAGCTAGCTCACACTGACTCAGCTTAGAGGGAACACTGGCCACGGCCCCTCCGAAAGGAGGCAGAGGAGTCCCAGGAGGCACTGGTGGTTCTCTTCTCCCCCATTGCATCCTTATTACGATGCTTTGAGGGAGGACAGAGGCTGCAGGGGGGGGGAGGAGAGAGAGAGAGGGAGAGAGAGGGAGCACACGGT